CTTATGGCTCATGGCAGTTGAAAATACACGAGAGGAATTACCCTACCCATGACCTAGAATTAGCAGCAGTGATCTTTGCCTTGAAGATTTGGAGGCACTACCTTTGTAATGAGAGGTTCGAGGTGTTCTCAGACCATAAGAGTTTGAAGTACCTGTTTACTTAGAGAGACTTGAATTTGAGGCAGAGGAGGTGGATGGAGTTCATAGAGGATTATGATTTTGAGTTGCATTATCATCCGGGAAAGGCCAATGTGGTGGCCGATGCCACGTTCTATGTTCAGAAGAACACAAAAATGGTCAGGCCCACATTGGCTTCACAGCCTCCCATATTGTTTTGTTGAACAACAATAGTAAAATATGAGAAAATAATATATGTCAACCACACTTATTTTGGAATGACTCACATATTGAGTCCATATCTTATATTTAATTGAGTCTATATTATATACTTCTTTTTTTATTTTTGTGATAAAATTTTTGATACTTTTTTAAGATATATATTTTTTCCGTTGTTTAAAGAATGGACTTACTCACATAGTGCTCCAAATCAATCACATAATAATTTTTTTTTTTTACCAACAGACTTCTTGAGTCACTTTTATTAAATAGTATTGCAATTTCTCGTTTATTGAGATACCACGTAAACAACTACCATAATACTCAGATAGGATCTAATAATTTTTCCACTTAGAAGTGTCCCCTTTCAGTACTGTCTAATACAATATTGGTTGGTGGGTCTTCACAGATTCTTCTCACAGTTGTGAAATCAAGTGGCAAGTATGGAGGCAGAGTTGACATGAGCATGGCCATGTGTGATGCCAAAACACTCTATGAAGCCATGGAGAGTGGAAACTCTGTTGATTGGAAGACCATCATGTCCCTTTTGAAGGAAAGAGACACTTCACAAATCAAAGCCATACTTGTTGCCTACAAACAGCTCTATGGCCATGACTTCTCCAAGTTCCTAAAATCCAACAAATGTGGGAAATTCGGAAATGACCTCCGAATTGTGATCCGGGGATTGCAAAATCCTCAGAAATTCTTTGCCAAAAAACTGCGAGGAGCATTGCAGAGCAGTGGCGAAGCGCGGGATGTTCTGAGCAGAATAATAATCAGTAGATTGGAAATTGATATTAAAGATATAAGCAATGCTTTTGCTGCTAAAACAGGTTGGTCTCTTGGAAATTTTGTGAGGAGGGAATTCAATAACAGTAGTGCTGGTCAAACCTATGGTTTGGCAGGAGAACTTTTATTGGGATTTCTTAAACGTTGTTGAACAAAATTTGTGTTATGAGAAGGTATCATTGCATTGTAGCGGTTGTTTTGTAAACTATGAAGCTAGTACTAGATGTGAAATAAAAGGGGTTGATTATGACTTGCATTTGCTCATTGAGATAAGATGGGTATGGTTTTCTTGAATGGTTACATGTAAAATAAAAGAAAAACAATATTAAATCTAGAAAGAAAATATATTTTTACAGAGAATATGTACAAAATCTATTATTAGAATGATGTAACAGTGACATTTATATAATTTAGCCATTTTGATGACTTTTTGTTTTAAAACGATTGACTCATTATGTCGCACTGTTTTGTACAAGTATTGTTTTCTCCTCTATAAAATGGCCCAGCATTTTTATTTTATTTTTTATTTTTTTCAATCAAGCATATCACTGAAAAAAACAATTCATAGTTTTTGCTTAGGAAAAGAATATTTGGCCAAGTTTCATTTTTTCCGATTGACTTGTGCCAAATTATAAGCAGCACAGTTAACTTTTTGTACAGTCGGTGGTTGCTGTTTATGCAGTTTTTTACTTTAGGTCTTTATTCAATTTGGTCCAGCTAGTATCAAGGATGTAATTTGCTTTAAATTTTTTTATTAAAATTCATGTGACAGATCGCATTTTTATAACTCTCTTGAGATGTTATGATTGTCATCGATTTTATGTAGAATTAGAAATTTAAAAACAAAAAAATGCTAAGTGGCAGGCACGCCCTTTGGCTTAATTTGAGAAGAAGGTTATAAGTGGCGTTTTGGCAAGCAAAAAATGACTTTTTTTTGCCATAAATTGATTTGGGAAGTTAGTTATAAGCCAAAAGAAAAATTACGAAATTACCCTCCATAGATGGAAAATGAAAGGATAAAAATGTGTAATTTTTTAATTGGCTAGGGATACTTTGGTCATTTCATTATGATTTGACATTATAAACAAATATTAATAAAAAAAGTCAAAAGTCACTTTTTACCCACTTTCCAAATTATTTGTCTAAAAAAGTCAAAAGTTTAGTTAAAAATTAAAAAGTCACTTTTTATCATCCTCCCAAAATATGAGGTTTTAAAAAATTTTGCCAAAGTCAAATCCAAAACATCCAATACTTACCCGAAAATTGTTTGAGGGCCCGAAATTAGTGGTTCAAAAGTTGGCTCGAAATTCAAAACGACGTCGTTTTGGGTTTCATTTTTTTTTTTTTTTTCTTTTTCTTCCTTTTCTTGCTTTTTTTCCTTTTACTTCTTTTTCTTGTTTGAACAGGGACAGGCACAGGCGAGAGAGAGAAAAGAGAGAGAAGAGGAAGAAAAGAATAGGAAGATGAAGATGATTTGTTGATTTGGATATGGATCTGAAGAAAAAGAAGATGATTCGAATACAGATGAAGATCTGGATCTGAAGAAAAAGAAGATGATTCGACGGTGATGCTGGTGGGTCTCTTGCCTCTGCTCTCTCTACTTTTTTTTTTTCTTTTCTAGTGGATCTTGATCTGAAAGATGAAGATGTTGATGATTGTTGTTGTTGATGATGATGTTGTGTTGTTGGATTTTTTAAATTTTTTTTTTAAATTCGACAATTGAATTTAATTTTTTTTTTTTTTTTTTGTGATTGATGTTGTTGATGAATGTATGTTGTATAGTTGAATTTTTTTTTTTCAGATTCGAAAAAAGATGAAGATGTTGATGATTGTTGTTGTTGATGATGATGTTGTGTTGTTGGATTTTTTAATTTTTTTTTTAAATTCGACAATTGAATTGAATTGAATTTTTTTTTTGTGATTGATGTTGTTGATGAATGTATGTTGTGTAGTTGAAATTTTTTTTTTTCAGATTCGAAAAAAGTTATGATGTTGTGTTGTTGATGAATGTATTGTTGTTGAATGTGTTGTTGTTGTGTTGATGAATGCCCTCTTCTCTCTCAGCTTTCTCTTCTCTCTCTATGTTCATCTTCTCAATTTTTCCTCTCTCTGCTTATCTTCAAAGAGAAAAGGCAAAAAAAAAAAAATCAAACGACGTCGTTTGATTTTTCGAGCAAATTCGAGCTCGAGAAATTCGGGCTCTGTAACGGGACTGTACTTACCCATACAACAACAATGATTCATCCCACTAAAAACACCACTACTAATAGCACTAATGCATTAAAAAAGTAAAAAAAAAAAAAAAATACAACTCCAAGACCAAAACATCACATCATTAATGACGGAACTCACTGCCACCTAATGCTTGGGAGCACTAATTAGTGCTCCCAAGCATTTTTCCCCATACAATCGACTTCTTTAAAAAGTTTTACCATCATTAATTGATCATAAGAGGTGAATTTCTTCAATGTTAGAATCATTATTGGTTCAATTGTGAATTGAAAGAAAGCAAAGCATCAGAGTTTCAACACAAAGTCCAGAGAGAGTTGTTAGACCACCTGACCTGATCATGGTAAAGAGAAGTGGCAGGCTCTGTTTGGCGAGGCCTTTTTTTTTTTTTTTTTTGACAAAATTATTTTTTTGTGTAAAATTAAAAAATTTTTATGTACAAAAAAATATAATGATGAAATATTAATTCAAAACTGAAAAAAAAAATTAATAATATTTTTAATTTTAAAACTAAAAAAAAAAACTGTTAATTTTTTCAATTTAATGAAAAAAATTAGGATATGAGTCATGCTAATCCACACAACACATAGGATGATCGGTCTAGAGTGATTCTCATTTTTCAAGATTTTGACTGGCATGCGTTGAAGTTTTGGAACAGAAAAACCAATTGATTTCTATACAAACAAATAAAAAAATCATTTGGCTTGCATTTTTCTTTGTATAAGTAACTTTAATAATATATATTTGGTACTGTTTGGGAAGATGGTTTGAGAGTTTTTTTATATTATTTTAGTTATAAAAAATAGAATAAGTTATTTTACTCGTAATAAATAAAATATCACATCTAATCCATAATCATTACACTTTTTTCTCATAAAAAAAAGTCAAAAAAATCAAAAAGTCAAAAAATTATTCTCAAACTAAATTTTTTAACCCAGATTAAAATAACTAAAAAAATCAAAAAAACTAAAAAAATCAACCCACGGAGGCTTCAATTGCAATCTATCTATATTTGTATGATTGTCCTGACAATTGCAGTCTATGTATCCATTCTGATGATCTACCATGAGTAGTACATAAATATTGATTATTTTTTATTTTTTATTTTTTATTTTTTATTTTTTATTTTTTTGATAAAAATTAAAATTAAAATTCACTGATTAGAAGAACAGTCATAAGTTTGAGGGTGTGGATTATAGACACTTTATTATATATTTTTATGATATATATCGCATATTTTTGTTACAAATATTATCTAATTTTGTAGTAGAGTTATCACAATTTGCGATTCAAAAATAAGGCAATATATTTTTGTGATAGTGTTATATATTTTTTTATTACAAAATGATTCAATGAAAAAATATGTAACATTATTATAAAATATGTAATTTTATTTTCAAATCACAAATTATTATAATTTTATCAAAAAATTACATAATATTTATCATAAAAATACATAATATATATCACAAAAATATATAATGAGGTGCATATATTACACACGGGTGTAAAGTGAAGGGATTTCCTAAAGTTTAGATACAATCACAAAATATCATTGATTACGTTTATGGCTCCTAACGTTTACAGGCTGTTTCTTATAAATACAAGTAATATTAAAAAATTAAAATTTTAATATACACTTTACATATCTTCATGCTTTGGGTTTCTTTCATGTTCTCAATATGAGCAAATTTGAGAGATTTATAGGACCTGTTACGGATCTCATTTCGATAATCTGAATTATTTAATTTATAGTATTTTCAATGTATATTATTTATTAAAAAAATTAGTTCAATCCAATAATGATAATTTTTTTTTATTTTATCACATTTGTTTTTGAAAAAATAGATAACAAATATATTTTTAAAATAAATCATTCATTTTTTTAGAGACAACTGTAATAAAATGAGAAGGTTATGATTATTGGATCGTCCTAAATTTTTTCATGGATACATTGTGCCTCTGTTTGGCAAGTTAGTTTTCAGGCTTTTTTGGCTATTTTAGCCACAAAAAACAAAATAGGTTATTTTAGCCATAACAAACAAAACATCACATCCAACCCATAATCATTACATTCTTCTCTCACAAAAAAAGTCAAAAAAGCCAAAAAGCCAAAAAGTCATTCCCAAACCAAGCTTTTTAGCCCAGGCTAAAATAGCCAAAAAAGCTAAAAAGCCAACCCACTTCCCAAACCAAGCCACAGTAGGTGTTTGGGAAGTGGAATTTTTTTGTAAGTTTTTTTAATTGTAGGATATTATTAGAGAAAAAAAATTTTGTGTTTGGGAAGATAGTTGGGTATTTTTGTGGTTGGATGTGATATTTGTGAAAGAAAAAGTGAAATGATTATGGGGTTTGATGTGATATTTTGTTTGGATTTATTTTTTTTTTTAGTTTTGTAACCAATTTGTCTTTTAGTGAAAAAAAAAAAACCAAAACACAACTTCCCAAATAGCGCCATTGAGAGCCTTATAAAATGAACGTTTCGAATTCGATGATTCGAAACGAGACCCAGAGTGGGTTCTACAAGTCCCTCAAGTTCTCTTATTTTGAGATCCTAATATGAGAGAAATTCAACCATATTTGTATATGTTAAATATAGTAACTATATATTCTATCTATCATACATACCATATTATATCCATTACCATATTTAGATTTCTCTCATTTTATATAAAGGAGTCTTGTATATATTATTACAACATTCAATATAATACAGATTTATCTTTCTCTTAAATATTATAATATGATATCAGAGTTAAGTTAAATATTTAATAATTTTACTTCACTGACGGACGACAGCCTTACTTTAGCTGCCTACTGCACCTCAACTCAATCTATTCCTTGACCTCTTTGTTTTTCCTTCCCGAAGTCTCTCTTCAGAGCACATTCTATTGCTAAGGGTGTAAATTTGACCCGACTCGGCCCATGCCAAGCCTCGTGAGCTCTCGTCAAAATTCAGGCAAGTACACGGGTCAGAAAATTAGGCCCAAACCTAGGCCTAGGCCCAGGGATAATCGGGCCTTAGGCGAGCCGGCGGGCCTATGTAACAACTTGAAAATTTAAATTGTCCCTTAAATTTTATAATAATATTATTTAATTATAAATGATTTCAAAAAATAATTTTAAAATTTATATTATTTTTCAATATTATTTTCTGAGTATTATGATATTTTTATTATATTTTTTTTATATTTTTCTTAAATCAAAATACACTAAAATATAACACTTTCGATACGAAAAATAAACAAAATAGGCTATTTTAGCCATAACAAACAAAACATCACATCCAACCCATAATCATTACATTCTTCTCTCACAAAAAAACTCAAAAAAGCCAAAAAGCCAAAAAGCCCTTCCCAAACCAAGCTTTTAAGCCCAGGCTAAAATAGCCAAAAAAGCCAAAAAGCCAAAAAGCCAACCCACTTCCCAAACGGAGGCTTAGTCGGTTACGGTGAGTGAAAAATAAAAGTTGGAATTAATATTAAGGTGAGTTATATTATACCTTAAATTACCATTATATGTTTTGCGTATATTTTGAGTTACCATAATTTATTTTATATAATTTATGTTTTATAAATTATATTAGCATTTTTTATTTATGAACCTTATTTTATGTAATAAGGAAAATCCATGGATATAACTGTTTATTAAAATTTGTTTTGAGTAATTATTTTATAAATACCACCACGGAGGTCCCATGCCTTGGGAGACTTAAATAACCATTGGCCGTCTGATTAGTCACTTTGTGACCCTATATTTGTCATAGATCCATTGACGCTCTGATTTCTGATATGAAGTAAAATGCTGTACAGAGCTAAGTGCTACATTATTGTAGGAGCCACCTCTAGAGTTCGTACGAACCACCTCTTGAGTCCATACATCTGTTCTGTTCTATACCATGATTATGATTTATGGTGTAAAGCAAAGTAATGTACGAAGCTAAGTGCTACACTATAGTAGAAGCCACCTCTAGAGTTCGTACGAGCCACCTCTTGAGTCCATACATCTATTCTGTTCCGTTCTGTACCGTGGATATGATTATTTTGTTTATATGATTTCTGTATTATATGTCAAACGATCTTCGTATTATATACTCTGTATTTTAATATTAACTGTGTTTAGTCCAATAATTATCCATGGTTATTTTATTATGCTCTTATGCTCTTAGTATGATATTTCTCACTCTGCCATGTGCTTATAACTGTTTACCAATTTTCAGGAAACAATGTAATCTAGAAATAGCTTTTGGAGAGTTTTAGACGCAGGGTTACGGAATAGACACAAACAACACTTTTATAGTATTTATAATTCTATTCTTTATATGTAAGTATTTGTAATAACCCGACCCTCGTACGTGTTTTCTGATATATTTTCAGTCCCTGTTTTGTGCTTTCACATGCTTGCTGTGAAATCTGCTAAGAAAATAAGGTTAAGTAAACGAACTCCATGTTTAAGGGTGTCTATCAGTTTAACAAGAAAACTATTTGTCACTATTAAAACGTTTGAATTAGAAATTGGAAGCCTTAAGGGCTTAATTATCTGAAATTGATTTTATATATGTGATTTGCATAATTTTTTAGTAATATTAAGCATGTTTGCGAAATTTCAATTTCGGAATGATTAAACGAATGATTTTTGTCCTATTCACCTATTATATATTCATGTTATTTTAAACACTTGACTTGGGAAGGGGATTTTCGTAGCTACCTCCTGGAGAGGAAAAAAAATGTCGTCTGGCGTCAAGTGGCGCGCGATACGCGTGGCTGCCTCGGCTATTTAACCAAGACGGAGGCTGAGGCTGAGGCAGAGGCTGAGACAGAAAAACTGAGAGAAACCTCTGAAAAATTCTTCCTCTGCTGAGAGAGAAACTCTGTAATACGCTGTATTCGGAGAGAGATTTCTGAGAGAGACACTCTGTAACCAACCCTGCTCTGAAAAAACTCAGCAACCCATAACATGGCCTCTTCTTCCCGTCCAGCTAACCAGAACATGGCCTCCTCTTCCCGTGGGCTGCTTACGCTCTTTCCAGAACTGAATGAGTCCACAAGAGAAATAACTGGTGTGGTGGCCAGTGAACCTCAACCAAACACCTCTGGTTTTGCTCCGTTGAACTTTCCGATGCGGTCGGTGGAGCAAAAAATGGCGGTGCAAACTGATATTGAGGCCAATCAATATACTTTGAAGTCATGTGTGGAAACCATGACTGCGGTTACAAACTTGTCAAACCGGCTGCAGAGTAGAGCAAATGAGGTGCAGCAGTTAAACTCCCAGCTGGCTCTGCTCCAACGCATGTATAAGGATGCGCGAGCAGAGATAAGTG